TTTGAGAACAAATTATAATATGATTCAAAAATAAGAGTAAAGTTTTTAAAAATTAATTTTAGAGAAATATTAAACAATAGACATTATAATAACAATGCATTTATTGAACACAATGTCATTGTTCTGAATCATGGTTATATTACCACATTAAAGTTACAAAGTATATTTCTGAGGTCGCCAAGTGATTTAGAGATATTATTGAATTGTCACAGACTCCTTCTGAGACAGAACTGGAGCAAAGTATATAAAGTCTGCTTTGATGATTAAAAGCAATGGCATTGACTAATACCACCATAAAGAGTTATTTCAAAGTACCCATATTCAGTATGGTAGGGAGATACTCTGCCTAATGACTGGACTCAGACATATATCTCAAGTCCAATTACTAGAATCCCCAAAGTCAACGTTTTTAGAGAGCAAGAGAATTGAGCTGGTATTATGAATATTTCCCTTCATTCAGTATGGATTTATTGAGCAATGGCTGTATAGCCTTTGCTATCAGAGAGGGGCAAAGTAATAAAAGACAAAATCCTCGCTCTCTAGAATTACTGAATATTTTTAAGATAAAATTCATATCCCTGTTTAATAGAGATTATTGTTGTAAGCCAGCAGAGTTAAGGGTGCCCTAAGTCACCATCAGGATGAGATCAAAGTTTTGGGAAACATCATTCAATGAGTACATGTTTCAGTAATTACTAATCGCTGTATTAAGACAACTTTTAAAATACCAACCTCCTAACGCTTTACTTTCATTCCCCCACGGTGGCCCTGTGGCTCCAAAACTGCGGAGTAACTTTAATGCTCAAAATAGGACGAGCTTGACATAATAGTTACTCAGTTCAGCAGAACCAAGGCAAGATTAGCTACGATGATGTAGGTTCTCTAGTTGCTGGCACTATCAAGGTTTAATAACCATCATCTCACCCACCATCATTTTATGCAAACTGCGTAATAACACGGCAGGAACCCTCAGCTGTGCCTGCACCGGAGCACAGGTATTGCCAATCCATTCATCGGCCTTTTTGCTCCTCATTTTCATTTCTTTTCTCCCATTCCCCATATCCTTTGTGTTTTCCATTTATTACTCATGGAAACAACACCTCATCCTTTTTATTTTGTGCCTAGTTTCACTTTTTACTCTCTTTTTGTGAAAGTTACACGTTTAACAGCATGGAGTTCTTCAAAGATCTGATCGGAATTCTTTAAAAATGGACTTTTTTTCCCATTTAAAATCTTACTTCAACAAGTTCACTGCTTTTTAGATTTCTCTGACAAACACAGCTGAGGTATCAAAACCCAGACATGTTGAAATAGCTTTTTCTTGAAGTCATTTAGAATCTAAGACTTTCTACTCTGCTGTGTCAAATTACCTCGCTTGGGAATAAGATGAGCATGTTTGTGTATCTGTGAAGGGAAATGGTACCGAGGTGGGGAAGTGAGGGATCAGTAAACAATCTGTACGAGGAGAACTCACATTGTCCTCTGAAATTGATATATCTAAGCTCTTGTATTTCCCAGAACCCTGGCGTGACTCTTCTGTCTCAATGTTTATAGTAAATTCATGCTGATTTTTCTCTGTTGCTTTGGTTAGACAGCTTCTTTAAATAAATACTATATGAATGTCTATATTACACATATATATTTAAAGAGAGAGAACCTAATATGCAAGCAGCCATTAAAAGCCATTTTCATTTTCTCCTGTCTCTTTATCCATCTGGAAAGAAGTTTCTTGACTGAAAAAAAAAATTAATATCTGTTGGATCACAGAATTTAAGAAACTGGGGTGTCCTTGTCTAAACTTCATTGTATAGATAAAGCAATTGAAGCCCTGAGAAGAGAAGGAGAGTGACCACAAATCCTTTGCTGTTCTTCCAGTGAGAAGTGGAGTCTCAGTGCTCTGCTCGCCCCGGATCTGGAAAGGCTCTGAGTTGCTTTGACCAATAGAACACAGTGGAAGTGGCAACCTGCCCATTTCAGGACCTGAGCCTTAAGAGAATGGCAGGGTTGACTTCTTGTTTCTTCCTTGCTTTTGAGACATCTCCTGTCTGAACCAGCAACTGTGCTGTGAGGAGCTTAAGCAGCATGGAGACAAACATGGGTGCTGCAAGCAACAACCACACCTAAGCCCCCAGCTGACAGTCAGCACGCACCTCCAGACACATGAATGTGCCGTGGACTAGTTCAGCCTAGGCAGACTCCCAGCAGGCAACCTTCTCACCCATTATTTGATAATAATCATATGAGAAAACAGAAGCAAAGCTTACCCACCTCTGTTCAGTCAGCTCAGAGATGCGTGAGAGTCAACAAGTATTTGCTATAAGCCACTAAATTTGAGGATGGTTTGTTACGTAGTAAAAGCTCACTGGGACTGAAAGTGACTGGATCAAAGCTTCTAAGTCATGCAAAGTGGAAACCAGAACTCACATACCACTATAAACCTTTCACGAGGTCATTATAAAGGGAACATACAGAGTTAAATAAGACCCATTCTTACTCTTCCAGGAGTTCATAATTCTAAAAGCCTTCATCCTTTCAGTATTCACATGGAAGGCAGAATTTTCAAAATCCTCAAACGTTAAAAACAAAGTCTTAGAGCTCTGTCAACATAATAGCAACCCATAATTTGGTCATAGGGTAAGGCAGCATTCCCAAGTGTCCCTTAAAGGTAGCAGTACTTTAGTAAGGTGTCACGAAAGAGAGGTAAACTGAATCGGGAAAACTCTAGCTTAAATGAAATTAAAGAGATCTCCTTAGTTCAGGATTTTTCAAGGATATAAAATCCGCAAGGAGAGCTACAAATAGGACCCTTTTTCCTAAAACTGTTTGACCAAAGTGCCTTTCTTCATAGAAACACAAAACCGAGAAATAGAAATGGGGGCATAATTTAATCAGCAGAAACCAAGTTTTACTTTCTGAGAGGATTTGACTTAAAAAGTTGGTTTCATAATTCAGGGTGCCATCAGCTTAGAGAACACATTTTTCATAAAATTTTCATGACCATCAGGGGCTCTACTTAATTATTTGCCTTTTACAAGATGTTCCCAGGCTCTGCCCTCTTAACTTTTAACATTCTTCTGTAAGCAGAGCTAATAAGTTGTATGAGTAATGGGTACAGGAAGGAATAAATAAAACTAGATACACACTAAATAATTGAATTAATTAGTTAAACATGGTAATCCTGGAAATCAGTTTTAACTCTAATTAGCCTTGTTTGGATTTTGTACCCTTATTTTCATATAAATTTAATTGGAATTGTAACACTTGCTCTAACTCAGAGAGTTCTTGGGAAGTTCAAAAGAGATTTCAAAGTTGAAGATGGGGCAAAAATAATTTTTAGTAATCATGTATTCCTCCACTCCTTTCATTTTGTAGTTGCGGAGATTCAGATCCAGAAAGAGTTTTCAGTGCATACACTAAATACACCGTAAACCTCCTTCCCTGTGGACCCACATTAACCATGTTGGAAAAGCTTTTCTCTTGTAGATGGTATATCAAATTCTATGATTCTAATTTATTCTAGATTCTATGATTCTAATTTATGCTAGTTTTTCACTCATAAGTTTTGCACGTATTTGGGGAAAAGACCCACATTTCACCACAGAATTTATGGCTGGTATAGGAAGGTGTGGCAGTCAAACATTTGATACCAAGTATGTCATGGGCACTGACAATCAGAACAGATGGCAGCTGTCAACAGCTGGGCCAGACACACTAACGAGGGCTGGGTGAGCATCAGTGGATGTGGTCAATCACATTTGCCCCTTCTTGCCACGAGTTCCCGGTCTTGTGAGTACCGTCATCTCATTTGTGTCAGAAATTCTTTCATTCAGGCTCTCTCTTGTGCTATCGCTGTGTTATTGATGTCCATAATACAACAGGTTGCCTTTTCTCTCTCTTCTGGGAATCTCCTAGCACTTTATGGCTCCCTCAGCATCATGCCACCCTGCATCCCAAATCATGGGGCATTCCCATGTCATCAGTGTCCAAACAGCGGGAATCAGAGTTTTATCATCTCCTCTTGGTCCCACTGGGACACAGGCCAATCCATTACTCTTACATAATTATCCATGGATCTCTCCACCCTTATACATTCTTACTCTACAGTCATAGCTGAATATGATTTGAAAGACTGGAGGAGTGATATATAAATACAGCAGTGAGAAGATGGTAGAGATGCAATAAAATAGCATGATATATAGTATTCATACTTTAAGAATGGGAAAAATACTTGTAAGGATAAAACAATGTGTATGTATTTAGCCAGTTCTTTTGTGTAGCTTTGATATAATATGTATTTTTTTATTAAATCATAGCTATGTACATTCATGCAATCATGGGGTACAATGTGCTAGTTTTATATACAAGTTAAAATTTTTTCATTAAACTGGTTAACATAGTCTTCGCCACCTTTTCTTAGTTATTGTGTTGAGACATTCATATTCTACATTTAGTAAATTTAACATGTACCCTTATAAAATGCACTGTAGGTGTGGTCCCATCCTCCCCTCTCCCTCTCCTCTCTATTGCCTTTCCTCTTCTTGGGCTATAATTGGATTTCATAGTAGGACGAGTACATTGGAAACTTGTTTTTCCATTCTTGAGATACTTTGCTAAGAAGAATATGTTCCAGCTCCATCCATGTAAACATGTAAGAGGTAAAGTCTCCATCTTTCTTTAAGGCTACATAATATTCCATGGTGTACATATACCACAATTTATTAATCTATTCATGGGTTGATGGGCACTTGGCTTTTTTACAAAATAGTGTGCATGGTCTTGTAGCTCTTTCTAAATACATTGCTTCTCTTCTGAGCCAACATGGCTTGGTTTACACTATTTGACATAATGCTTATGTAATGCCTTATATTATGTGACTCCACTCTGCTACATGGTAATATGTTTTCAAAAGTTTTTATCTGAGTACATTTCAACCACCCTACAGGAGAAATAGGAGCTTCATTCTCGTGGATTGAAGATAGTTACCGTTCTAGCATGCTTACCTCGACAAGCCTGCTGGTGTGTTCATGAAATATCGCAGCATATTCTTTTATTTCTTTTTCCCGGCCATTCTTAGCAGCTTCAATGAGAACCAAAAGTGGGACTGTCGTATCCAAGAAAGAGTCTGACACATGATCTATAATAGCCTTGCGGAGCTGAGAAGAAATAAAACATTCACAGCTTTTATTTTTCAGGAAATAGTTCATATTATTTCCTATTCTTACAATCTCCGTGGTTACGACATTCATTTCATACATTTTTTGCACAATCTCCAAAGTCAGTGTATTTAAGACTATATTTGAACATGCCTTAAGAAACTAAAACAAACAGAATATCCAGGGGTAAAAATCATTCAGCAGTAGTTCCCTTGCTCTCAGAAATTAACCTATTTTTTTTTGTAAAAATTGTACTTAGCCCAGAAGTCAGATTAAAATGATAATACTTTGTTTTTCTCAAAGAAATTGTACTATTAGAATGTTTATGCATGTGTACAAATAACATTGTACATCTTGTATTCTCTTAATTAGATATTATAAAATGTTTTCTACCTTGGAGGAACCGATGATAAATTTTGATTAGCTAAATTGTAGACTTCATGGTAATTAAACCAAGGTAGATCACTGATTATGCCAGTTGATAACAGATTAATAGAGCAAGAAGAATAATAAATGAGTTTGATGTCCCATTTTCTCTATTTGCATTAATTGTTCCTGCCCTCACACCTTAAATTATTACACAACTATAATATTCTGCTACAATTAGTTCTTTTTAATTAGATTACATGGAAGCTTATAAATGACAATCAGGCAATTAGTCTATTCAGATATTTTGTGAGATTTAAACTGTGTTGGAAATTAACTTATTGTATTTATATAATATTGTGCCTTTATGGATCACAATATCCTGAAATGTTTCATTAATTGCAACAATGACTATCAATGGGTCCCAAGAATTTAGGTCAACCCCCTAGTTAGTTTGATAAATTTTATACAATTACACCAAAGGACAAATAGCTATTAGACAAAAAAATGCAATTTGTCTTCTATGAAAAGTCTATTTCAGGGCACTTTTAATCCAGTAGACACTTATCATAGTTTTGGATTATGTGAGAATGAGTAGTAACATGTGTTTGTGGGCACGATCTGAATGATACAGGTGTATACAAAAGTACTATCTTCTTATAATCATCATAGAATTATAAATTCATAATAACTATAGGTTTCCAGGAGAAACACACCTCTGTTCCAGATGATGGAACTTTCTCAGAAGGGGTATGAAATGTTTTGGCTACTAACAATTTCACAAGGGCTATAGGAAAATCCCCAAGGAGGGGTTCTGCTTAGCATACAGAAAAGCAAACCATTAATGGCAATTAATTAATATTTACTGAGTACTTATAGGAGAGAGTGTCGAATGCCAAGGGGTTGCCAGGGAAGAGAAAGACTTTAAGTGATTTAAGGAAGACCATTAAGGGAATGAATAATGCATTTGCTGTCTACAGGGAAGGGACTAGGAAAGTCAGGCAGGAGGTCACAAGGTAGGAGTTGAGCTGGGGACTGCAGGTTGTGTAAATTTCCAATACATAAGAGAAAAGTAGAAGGCTTCTTTCAGAGGGGATGCTTTTCAGTGAGCACCCCTCTCTTCTACTTTTTTCTTCTTTCATTTGTAACTGCCATATGCAGCAGGAGAGCTGGGGGGAGATGTGCCCGAGAGATATCCCAGGCGGAGCCAGCATGGGAGAGGGAACTCAAGGATGGAGACACACAGGGAGGAGACCCAAGAATAAAGTCTCAGGAAATATTGCTTTGTAGGGAAGTCATGTATGTGACACTGTAGGTCCTAAAAAGAGACTCAGATAACGGCCAAGACACAAAGAGAACAAATGATGAGCAAATAACAAACTTTGAAACAAACGTGTCAATGCCTTCCAAATGTAGTCATCCCATCAAACATAATAGTCATATCACGAGTTTGTTGAATCTTTTCTCCTGTGCTTTTGATTTCATTCAGTTTGACAAATATTTCTGAGCGCCATTTCTTCATCTTTCTATCAAAATAAGGCATTGTGAAGCATGTCCAGACGAAAATGTATGGTCCCTTATAATCTAGTGGAGGAGTGAGTGCCATTAAATATCACAATAAAGGAAAACTAGGTGATTGACAGTTGCATGTGTGTGTGAATGCGTGTGGATATACATATATTTCAAGAGGAGAATAGGTTTGAAGTCAAATTTTAAAGAGAAGTTACTTTTTTTTTTTTTACAGTTTTTGGCTGGGGCTGTGTTTGAACCTGCCACCTCCAGCATATGGGGCTGGCACCCTACTCCTTTGAGCCACAGGCACCACCCTAAAGAGAAGTTACATTTTTTTAAAAAAATGACTGTGACTTATCCATTGGTTGACTGCTGATAGGTTATTGATGCACTTCATAGTTTTAGCACAAAAGTATAGCAAGAGTCCTATTGCTATGGTTTGAAAGTAAATGGGGGACGAGGGGGTGAAGACAATGATTATACCCTCCTGTTGCTGGTCATTTTATTGTGACATGAAGGAGACTTGTTATTCGCTATGTTGAGATACATTTTTAAAGAGGGATTTTTTTTCCTACAAAAAAGGACTTTGATATACATTCCTATCTGCAACTATATGCAAAAGTCAGTTTTTCTTCTTGTGCTTTTCATATTGACCACCAAAGTGTCACAGTTCACTGCTGCCATTGCTTGTCAGGGCCTGGGACTGGCCAGGTCTCAGCCGGCTTAACTAGGTTCCGGATGCAGGCCGCTAAGCTACCTTGGTCAGCAGCAAATTCAGTAGATAGAGGGCTATCTACTTCAGCAGGAGAGAGAGAGAGCTAGTCTTTGAGAGAGTAAAGCCGTCTTAGAATAGATAGATCTTAGTCTTTAGTGCAGCTTGGCTGTGCTGGGGTTCTGCAGGCTGGAGCTTGGCTGTGCTGGGGTTCTGCAGGCAGGAGAGCAGATAGAGTCAGAGTAAGTGGGTCCATGGTAGAATGCGCAGGCTCCTGACTGCCTTCTCCTCCAGCCCAATACAAGACTGATTTCGTGCCTCTCAACACCACAGGTGTAGAGACTGCCAATTCACCAATGCTCTCACCAATGCTTGTTAGGCGTGCTAAATCCCTCTCCATGCCCTTTTCACCAAGGTGTTCCATTATTGAGCTGTACAGGTATTTCTTATAACTCTCACTCCTCCTCGCCATAGGCTATACAGGCTGCTACACCAAAGCAAGTATGAAAGATGGAGAAAAAGTATTGTCTCACACTGTGCCAACCTTTGTGAGCATTTTGTTTCATGGCAGAATAATATGGTCAGAAATTAGAGACTTGTGTTGGACTGACTGCGCCCTTTCAGACTGTAATTCCTGATGCCCCGGCCCTGGATGGGTACCAGTGTGACTCCTTAGCAACCTGCTGCCCAGAATCACTGCCTGAGCTCCACCTACTATCCTGCCCCCACCCTACCCCTCATCCCAGCCACAGAAAAATTATCTTCTAAGAAACTGGTCCCTGGTGCCAAAAAGGTTCCAATCTGTGGTCTACTGGGGACCAGGCCACACAGCAGGAGGCAAGCAGTGGGCCTGCACATCCCCAAAGCTTCCTTGTATTTATGGCCACATCCCCTGCTTGCACTACCACCAGAGCTCTGCCTCCTATTCCCCACCAACCCCCCAGTCCATGGAAAAAATTGGCTTCCACGTAACCAGTTGCTGGTGGCAAAAGACTGGGAACTGCTACTTTAACAGATAGCATACAGTCAGAGGCAGGGAGTTATCCTTCCCATTCTTAACCCACATAAATAACAGGTCAATCAATACACAATTTTCTCACTAGTCCCTGTTTGACGTGGTGATTCCTGACCCTTTCTCTTCCCAGTCATAACCGTGATTGGAGTCTGTGTTATATGGGCTTTGGGTGGCTTATATCTCATCCTCCCTGGACCTACTCTAATTTTACCTGTTGTTGTGGGGAATAATTCCATGTCCTCTAAAAACACTGTAGGCCTCTTGTGGGCATTCCATTCCTCTTGCCGTTCTTTCTCAGGGTCTGTCCCAAGTCTCTGTGAGGTTCTCAGCCAAAACACAAACATAGCCTGGAAGTTCTGGAGAGTCCCCACAACTGGAAGCATCCCGTCACCAACGGGTGTGGGAGCTACTGGATAAAATCCCCAGCCTCCTTGACTGACCAGACATGCCTGTTGCCTGTAACAGCATCTCAACAGTGTACCATTTCTTCTTTCCCATCCACTTTTCATGTCCTCTGACACTTGCTTCTGGGAATCATCTCCCAAATCATCTACCTGTTCTCAGGCCCCAGTCTTACGCTCTGCTGTAAGGAAAATCCATCTGAAACAGGCACCTTTGTCCGGGGTTAATATTTGCTCATTGAGAGTCCGACTCCAAAGTCTTGCATCCTCTCCTACTTCTGCTTCATTCATCATTGGGTTTGTTTCTGTCATGCTCTGAATTACGCTGACTGTAAAGAGGAATTATTATTTGATGGACTAGAAATGCAGATAGAGAAGAGATGTGGAAGGACTGAATGTTATGCTAAGCAATTTATGTCCCGACATACTCATGTGAGTTTTTTGCACAGACATGTATACGTATGTGTACTACTAAAGGATCCTCTTATTTATTTTCAGATTATCCTCCTGCCTAATAGCATGATCCATCCCTTTTATTTGGTTAATATACAAAAATGTTTAAAGAAGAATTCCACATGACAATGTGGAAATGGGAGCCACAGCACTAAAATCTGAAGTTCCTGGGAGTCCAGTAGGAGTTAGAAGGATGCATTTCCAATAAATACCTATTTGTGGCCGGATATAAAAGATGTCAGAATAAAACTAAACTGAGGCGCTTTCCATCTTTCTCACTCCAGTTTAATAAAAGGCCCTGAGACATCAATCTTTCTATTTCCCACCAACGTAAGTGGTTTGGGATCTCAAATAAAATAATATATTTTTCTACAATTGAAACTCAAAAGTGAAAGCCCTGTGTGAAAACTCTAAAAGAGCACCCCCCACCACACTACCAAATGAAGAAATAGAAAAAATGAAATTGTGAAGATAAGAGGAATGGGAAGAGGAGAAAGTGTTTGGGGAAAGAATCACCCTCAAGGAATTAGAAAAGCATTATTTGTGTGTACTAATGCCATGTTAATTTTAAGTCAAATAGCAAAATACGATTTTCAAAGCTCGATTGACTGGCAGTAACTAAGTCAACCAATAATTAACTCAGTGTGTACCTACGTTTCTATATATATATATCTTGTGGATATTTCATATTTGAAGACAAGGATGATGATTAGGGCACGTAAGAGGCTACCTTTTTTTTTTAATTCGAGTGTTGTACTGGGACTATCACCATGGAGAAGACACAGATTTAGAAATTCAGAAACTCAACAATCAAAGAGTCGATCAAGAGTTTTTGGCATTTTGGGTTTTTTTTTTTACCAGAATCTTATTTTATTTGACACATCTCATTCTTACTTTGACATTTATGGTGTTAAAAAAATGTTTTCTTGATATACACAAATAAAAATGTTAACCTGCCTTTAGTGAAATTGAAATGTAAGTTTCACTCAACATAACAACAGAAATGAAATATATTTGAATGTTTGTATTTTTTAATACAAGATATTTTAAAAGCCTCCTCCTTTCATTAAGAGAGTGCCATCAAGCATGCAATTCATGAATGATGGGGATAAAAGGTTAAAGGAAGCAGAAAATTTAAATTTGAAAAATCATATAAAACAATAAGAAAGAAAAGAATTATAATGGAACAATAAGTGGACTGGGAAGAAGGGTTTCTGAAAGTAAACTGGCCATTGTTTTTGCCCCTAGGGGTGGTGGTTACATAGGCTAGGGGTGGATGAACCTGGACTAGAACCATGATGCCTCTGTCAGTTAGCTAGTGATGTTTGGTACATTGACTCATTTTGAGAAATTGAGATAATAATGCTATGGCATTATATCTTGCTTTGAGAATAAAAATAAATAAGAATAAATACACTTGGAAGAAAGTTTGGGAACACATTTAGTAAATGAGAAATGTTGACATAATGATCATTATGAGGACTTAAAATCCAGTGGGAAGAACACTCATTAAGAAAGAAAAAAACAAAATACAAGAAGAATATGATCACTGCTATAATAGGATTATACATACTGTAAATGGTCCAGGAGGAGCATGACTGATTCCAGCTAGTGAAAATAGCAAAAGTTTCATTGAAGAAGTAGTATTTGGTTGAATGTAGTTGATTAGGGGATAGTTGAGGGTGTAAGGGGAGTGAGTGGAGAGGCACCAAGCTGAAAAGTCCAGATATACAAAGACACACATGGGTTTGAGAGGGAGGTGATGGACATTTTGCTAAGTAGTAGCCTCTTTAGTCGTAGGGTTAATGTGTTCATGTGATGAGAAGGAGAAATGGAGACAGAGAACTGAAGGCAAAGGAACATTAAGAATAATGGGAATTAAGTCAGGGCCAAATCAACAGAGAACCCAGAACACCAGGCCAAGGACATCTATCTTTGCTCTTTACTAAAACAGGCAAGAAAGTCACAGAGCAAGAAAGCTGGAATAAGTAAGTACTATGTCACCTTCTAGAAAATTACAGTTGAAGCTCTTTAATCTATAATTTATTTCTCCTCAGATATTTCTAAGCAATCTATGTCATTCATCAAGGAAGAAGTCCAATCTTGCAAAGACACAGGAACTAAAGTTAAAAGGCTTCTGTGTTTCTGATGGGAACATGGTCAAGAAGGAGGAATAGGAGGAAGGGGCAGGAAGAGGAACTGTGCTTATCTTTTTCCTAAAGCAAGCCAATAAAACCAGCTCTTGAGCAAAGATGAGCACTAAATACCTCAAAGAAAAACATTTTAGGGACAGGGCTTTCTCTTTCCTGTGTGTATGTAAACACACACACAAATATATATATATGTGTATGTACACGTACTATATATATATATATTTAATGTATATGTATATAATGTGTGTATATATGTAACATGTTTAAAGCACACTGTTAGATAAACTTTGTAGAATAAAAAAAGGTGGAGACAACATATTGCTTTTTAAACTAATTTTTAATATACCACCCAAAGCATAAATATCAAGATGAAAAAATGAAGTCTGGGAGAGAGGGCAGGTGAAGATAATAGGAAAAAAACACAGCAGCACAGCAACACAGCAACTAACCTCCCCAACACTGAAGACGATGGATGTGCCAAAGATGGCTGCTAATAATCCCATCCCTTCCTATGCACACGTACCACTTCTTCTACAAGAGACAGACCTCTGCCTCTTCCTGTTGACTGAGATCAGGGTATGACCATCCTGACTGATAGAATGTGAGGAAACAACATCCTATGACTTTGCAGCTTGGGCATTTAGAAGGCCTGGTAGATTTCATCTCTCCTTTCTTGGCACCTTGAACCATCATCTAAGAAATCCAGGCTACCCTGCTAGGGTGAGAAGCCACATGGAAGGGCTATAAAGGAACAGATGCCTCATGGAAAGAAGAAAAAGGAAAAAGCACTATGGCCCAAGTATGGAGCCCTGAACCCAGCCACAGGCACCATTTGACTCCTACTATGTAGGAAAACGCAAGTGAAAATACTATAGAAATGGGCCTGCAGACCCCCTGCCAATCCAGGAATCATGAGATGAAACCAAGATTGCTTTTTTATTTTTCTGGTGGTTTATTAAACATGGATAGAAAATAGAAATAATGCAGAAAAAATAATTTTTTTCTGTGAAACCACATGAGATTTTCATACCTCCCAAACACAGTAGTTCTCTACAAGTTGGAAATACCTCCTTACTGTGGAGAATAGTATTAGTAATTCTCAGGGCTATTTCTATATCTCACTGTTGGTAGTGAGGTGGAATCACAAGTAGGATTGCAAGGTAAAATACAGGGTGCTCAAGCTAAATTTGAATTTTAGATTAATGACTTTTGAAATATAAGTAGGTCCCATGCAATATTTGGGACATAATTATATTAAAACATGTTCATTGTTAATCTAAAATTCAAATTTAACGGGGCCCCCTATCTTTTTTTTTTTTTGATACATCTGATAATCCCATATGTAAAGCATTGCTTTTTTCATGACTTTTTAAAGACAAATAATGATTTATAGGAAAAATGTAGACTAAATCTCTTTGAATACCTTTTTTATAATCTCTTAAATAACTCCGTTGAAGGCAATGTAGGAGGAAGAGACAGGAAGGAGAGATGGAATAGTTGCTAGCGCATAGGTTGAAACAACTTTTACAAGTCCTAGACATCATGAATAAGATCCAGAATAGAAAGCACGTGACAGAAGGGGAGGATGACTCCTAGGGTGTAGGTTTCTGAGTCCTTGTGTGGGTTCTGACCCAATGCCCTCTCTCCTTTGGCAGATCTCTCCATCACCCTGGCCTGCTTTCTCTTCTGTATCACAAGACATGTGTAAGTTCCATTCAACTCTTACCTTCTGTGATTCTGTGCTGACAGGAAAGTAGAATTCCCATTAAGGCCATAAACTGAGATTTTCACAGACTTGAAAATTGTGTCTTTATGCGGCTCGTATTAAATGGCTGGCAATCCCTATTTATTCCATTTGTGGACCTACTTCTGATGAAAGGATTGCTCAGCCATTTTTCTAACTCTTCCCATTAAACTATAATAATATATTACATTAAAAGCTTATGGTTTAAAAGCTTTTTGCCCCTCTTTTATGAGTTAATAGTGACCAAGTTAAAGTTGTACATGAGAAGGAACTCTGGTTATTAATGAGTGGAAAGGAATGGAGAGAAAAGGTCTTCGAAAATCGCCAAGTCTTCATATTTCTGGGAAAAAAAATTAACTTTGGCATAGTATCAGACTTCTAAATTATTTAATGAAGTCCTTTCTAATCCTATGTTCCTGGTGACCTAAGGTTAGAATGTAGCTTTAACTTAAACAGAAACTAGTTTTTGAAGCACTGCAAAAAGAATTGGAATGGGAAATTTGTAGGGTGTCCAAGTTACTTATAAGCTATTCATTGTAAGCATTCATATGATAAACTCAGTTTTTCATGTAATAGCATCGGTTTATCACATTTCCTAAAAACTACGGAGCAGGCATTGATATGCATTTTATTTAATCCTCACAGCCCTATTGTGTATTATTTAACTCCGTCTTCTAGGTTCAATAAGTTCAGAGAAGCTACGAGATGAAATCTGTGTCTGATATCTCACAACCAACAAGGATAGAGTCAGGATTTGAATGTAATTCTGCATGATATTAAAACACACATTATTTTTTCTACTTTCTGTTAGCCACAGAAATTAAGGATATAAATGTAGAAAGTATACATTCATAGTTATTTGCTGCTATTCTAAAATTTTCTTTATTTTTTTTATTCAGAGTCTCACTCTGTCGCCCTGGATAGGGTACTGTGGAGCCAACATAGCTTACGGCAACCTCAAACCTCATCTCTTGCATTTAAACAATCGTTTTGCCTCAGTGTTCCAAGTAGCTAGGACTGTAGACCCTACCTTGCCTGGCTAGTTTTTCTATTTTTAGTAGAGACAGTGTCACTCTGACTCAGGCTGGTCTCTAACTCCTAAGCTCAAGCAATCCACCCACCTTGGCCTCTCAGAGTGCTAGGATTACAGGTGTGAGCCACAGTGCCCCTAAATTAATTTTTAAAATACCAAAAACAAGAAATAAATTACTCCGCAGTGAGTAACAGCCCCGTTCGCCATGTGTGTCTCTGTCTCTGTGCCACCCTGCCCTCACCTGCCTGCGAAGGTCCCTGGTCTTCTTGCACATGTTGTCTATGGCCGTATTCAGGGTATTACTCCTTTCCTTTTTTCCAGTCTGCAAAGAAGAAAAAAAAATCACATAAGCAATGGTATCAAATTACTCTTTATCACTTAGCAATTTGCTTTCTAAATTTTCTGAAAATAACAGCTTGAAATTCAAGAATAGGTTTCAAAACTGCTATATTACATATGATTCATGAGCATTTCACTTAAGACTAAGTAGAATGGTGATTAAAGCTCACATTATTTTCTTCTCAGCTTCTGTAATATTTCTGATACAAGGTTGGGTTGTAGTCGGGGCGGCAGTAGGCAGAACATTATCTCCATGAAACTGTGATCTTCATTCTTAACAAGTCAAGTCTCTAACTGCTAAGCGTGCAATTAGCTTAAAAGCATTAGATGCCCAATTTGTCAACTTCCGTGGGAGTTTCTGAAGTCATTTTCATAGTGTATTGTGTAAGTTATGCAGAACCATATTGGAGTTTTGCTAAACACTAAATGAAATATGCAGTGTAAATTCTTACCATTTTCAAAAGTTGACCACAATTTTAGCTGACAATATTCCAAGAACAGATTGTTTTAAGTAGGAATTGGACGCTGTTTTTGGCTCTTTAAGATCGTTTGTGAAACACCTTTTTCTTCTCTGAGCAGAGCAGTTCTCTCTGTTATATCCTTAACCTAAATCTTTAGGCTATTAAGCGCAGGGAGAGTCACCTTGGTTGGTATTTTCTACATATTATTTTTGTGGGAGACAACTGGATTAAATCTAATCATACTCTTTTTTAGTGATATCTCATATAAAAGAGATTGAAAAAAATCATTATGTGATTCACCTCTAGGAAAACTGCTGCTATTTAAATTAATAAAGTGAAAAGAGTTCTTGAGAGAAGACCTTGAAAATCAGGAAGGCAAGTTTAAGCAGTTGATAACTAAGAGTTTGCAGCATGGACTCAATGAAGAAGGATGCTGAGGCCAAGTGAAGGCAATTAGATAGCGTGTCAGACTCTCTTCCCAGGGACCAACCTGATACATACATCCACGTCCTCAAATGGAAAGACTTCAAGAAATTCAAGCCCATCTACACTCTGCCCTAACCTACCATTTTAATCTTATCTCCTGCCAGATCCTCTCAAATACTGTCCTTGAAGGTAGCAACCTATCTATACTTTCCTATCTCTTCCTCAGCTTCTTACACACAATATACCTTTGAATTCAGAGAGCGTCTCTCAAAAACACTCCTATGGAAATCTTGCCTGTTCCTCAAAGGTTTCGATAAATAATTCCAAAATAAAAAGAAATTCTGTTCAAAAGTCAGCTCTCACTTCTCCTTGCCCCAACAGCACTTTGAACATTTCCCGACACGCTCGTTTTGTTTCCGCGCACGCTTATTACCCGTCTAGCACACTCATTACTGCTAGAATCTTGATGCTGGCAAGTCTATCTTATTTTTTTCTGTTTCAACTAGTAACTTACATGGGTCTCATTGAATGGTCTAGTTTACAAATGAACTTTATTAAAAACACAGAATAGTTGCATTGGGGCCTATCATCTTCCAGGAAATAGTCATACTAGAGTTTGGAGAGGAGATTTTTGCACTGAGCTTCAAGGCACTGTAAAAATGCTCTATTAGCTGGCACCCACCTAAACCTTAGTTAGACCTAGATTTTCAGTGGCTGCGTTAATGATATTTAAGGTATGAAAAAATTATCATCATTGAGACCATTCTATACACTGCAAGATATTTGGCGCCCCTGGACCCATGTCCACTAAATTCCAACACTAACTCCCAGGCACTGTGATAGCCGAATGATGGCACCACACACTTCCAGCTGCTTCCCACAGGGAGACACAGTGGAGGACCATGAAGTCCTTGACCACATTTTATTTTTGAAAGACAGTATAGAATGTGCATAGAATGGAAACTATGTCTAGTGAAAAAAAAAGGTGGGGGGAGAAATAGGAGGCATAGAAGGTGGATTATTTCAATGAGCAGTAATATAACTCTGGATATCAGAGAAATGGTGGCAATTACCCAGATGAAATCTGTAGCTACCCAGCATTGTAGCCATGGAGAAGTGCGAGGGTTAATTCAGTGATATATAAGGCAATGGCATAAATAATGCACAGGAGGCTATAAGACAGTTCCTAATTTTACCTAAAGAACCTAGCTGTTATTTTCTAGTTTCATGCAGTGATAGCTCTTGGATGTATCTCTCTCTACTTTAGGAACGCAGAAATAGAAAAAAGGGGGCAGGGGTGAGACAAACAAAGCGAACCCCCCCCACCAGGCACACGCAGTATCAGTAATAACAGGGGACACGCCTGCGTGTGAGCTGTAAAAACCCACTAGCCTCTGTGCTGTGATTCATCGGAACTAAAGGATGCTGACCTTCTCAGAGCCAGCAGCAGAAGCATACAAAACTTTAATAAAGGATGACAAGAGGTGACGGCATGAAGAGATTCAATAAGGGCTATAAAGATGATTTCCTAATTTCTAGCCATAGATTAACCTTAGTTTAAGATGCCTCATTGGGTCAAAGATATTTTGCTCTCTTGGTAATAATAAACAGCCCCTGTCATCACAGGGAATACAAAGTTCTCCCTCCCTCCGTTTCTCTCCCCTCATGCCCTCCCTCCACCCACAACCGCCTTCCTTCTTTTTCACCTCCAGATTTTTACTAGGTCCTTTCTCTATTTATCCAGATTTATTTGGCTTCCATCAAGCCATGTTATGCTTCTTTATTCCTTTTGCATGGCATAAAAATAAATAAGGCGAGGAGAAATAGCCCTGTCCTGCTTAAAGGCCCTCATTCCCTCTGTTTTCAAGGCCTTAACAAATCATCAAGCAATGAGCCAGGACGAAAGGTGAATTCTGTGTGCTGAGGTAGGGAATGGAAAAAGCAGGATATTAAAACACAACCACAGATGACAGTCAGACCTGCCCGTATCCCAAGTGCTTGGAAGAGAGGATGCTTCTTAAGGGAATGCTTAACGGACATGATCATTAAGTCAGCACAGCCTGGCTAATGGAATAGGGACCACTCGAGTGGAGTGTCAGAGAGAAAGAGCCTGAGACAACATGACCCAGATCAGCACTGTATGGGAGGGGGGCAGTCAGAACCTTCATCAGTAAGTAAACTGCCAGCAAGACTTTATTGGGAAAAAAGAAAACAATTCTGAGTGTGGACTTCATTTGGTGAAATTACATTAATTGTGTTGCTCATTAGAAATACTGACCCAATGTGATCCAGGCTTATTAAACTTATAAAAAAATCTTAACTAGGAATCTTTTCATCAATTCTCCTTACCATCTCTCTCACATGACTGACCACATTTCATTGCACTGTCTTGAGGTTCCGTTAAAGCTGCCCACAAATTGGGAAAAAAGTCTCTTTATAAATAAACTCCTTAAATTATCCTAATCTGAGTGTTCCATCTGTTTCCTGTTGGGACTCTACTGGGAAGAACCTCTAACACTGTGTTGTTGAATACTGCAGCTACTGGGTCACACGTGGCTGTTTAAATTTAAACATAAATTAATTAAAGTTAAACAACATGAAAACCTGAGTTTCTCAATTTAAAGTGTTCATTAGTCATGTGCGTCTAGTGGCTGCTGCACTGTATACTGCAGATACAGAACATGGACACTGTTGCAGAAAGAGCTATGAAACAGCCTTGTTATAGGACATTGGTTTTCTCAAATATCTTTGAACCAAGCTCAACAAATTTCTATATAAAATTTAGTGATTGAATTGCATCTTCAAAAATGTCCGTAATCAGAAATGTAAGAGGTAAGAAGTCAAAAAAGAGGTTTTTTTATACAAGCAGAGTTCCTACTTGCATTTAAGTCTTCCTTCTTTCCTTCCTTCCTTCCTTCCTTCCTTCCTTCCTTCCTTTTCTTTCTTTCTCCTTCCTTCCTTCCTTCCTTCCTTTTCTTTCTTTCTCCTTCCTTCCTTCCTTCCTTCCTTCCTTCCTTCCTTCCTTTCTCCTTCCTTCCTTTCTTTCTCTCTTTCTCTCTCTTTCTTTTTTCTCCTCTTTTTTCTTTATCTCTCTCTCTCTCCCCCACATCCCTTTTCCCTCCCTCCCTTTCTTCCTCCTTCCTTCCGTCTTTTCTTCCCCTCTCTTCTTTCTTTTTAGCTCACTGCAGCCTGAAACTTCTGGGATCGACCTCAGCCTCCCACCTCACCCTCCATAGTAGCTGAGTAGCTGGGACTATAGGCACAAGTTTCCATGCCCAGCTGTAAGTCACCTTTCAAATAGATTTGAATAAAATAGTGAGCAAGGAACAAACAAACAAATACCACACCTCCCTTACGTACTCCCTACTTACTCCCTACTGAAAACATATGAGGTCCAATTATGTCCCTTCTTTGCTCTAAAACCCTTCCCTCTATTGTCAATCAAATTAAGAACAAATGCTTCATCATGGAGCTCAAAGCCTCACATAATCTACCTTCATATTCACTTATCAACCAGTAATGAGGCACTTTAATGGGTCCTTACATATTTTAGGCAATATAATCACAATTTAAGAACTCTGCTAGAAATAGACATAAAGACAGTGTATAATAGAGGTATCTAGGGTACCACATGGCTTGATGAGAGCAGCACCCCCTTCAAGGATGAGAGAAGAATTCCCAAGCAGGTGACAATTGAGTATTGAAGGCCATGTGGGAATCAGCCAGGTGAAGGTGAGGGAAAAGGCCATTATGCAAGTCAGGGGTAACCTGCAGAAAAGTAAAACTCCTTAGCGAGTATTGGGTAATCAGGGCAATAAGTGTGCGGGAAGGCTTGATTTCAAAGTCTGGGACATTAAGTAATGAGGCTGATCCTATACACAACTGGGGGTCATAGAAGTTGAGCAAGTGAATGATACAACCAGACATTATATCAAACTGGCTAGAATCTGCACAATGGACTGGGGAGATTAAGAACAGAAATAGGCAAGAATTACATGGTCATAGGAAGAGTCTGTAAGAGAGATGAAAAGTGTAAAAACCAATGCACTGGGAGCCAGGATAAAGAAAAAGATGTACTTAGGACCCTGTGTCAGTA